CAATTTCAGAAACGTTTGCGGCACTGCAACCGGCGAGCGTCCGGAGTATGACTTCGTTGCAAAGCACGGGGCAAATGAAACTTTGGGGCTGTTTGTACAGTTGGCACTAAACAACAAATTTAACAGAATCACATATCTCTCGCGTTCACACCCGTAGCAACTAAAAGAAAGTTTGCACAATGTTTAAACGTCCGAAACCGCTCTGCTTTATTATCCGTGTTGTCAAGGACATTTTGGCGTACCTTCGGGCGGTAGTATCAAACACGTCAGTCCGACGGCTTTAAACGCGCGTTTAACCATTGGGGGTTTCACCTGACGAAAAGAAAAGATGGGTCGAAACACCCCATACTGCCGTACCAGCAGGAAAACTGGTTTTTCTGACAAGCGATATACGGGCATTTACGTTTTAAATTAAGCATACCAAGTTTATCTTTGAAAGACTCCGGTAACTGACAGCCAATCGTCAGATACTTCATGGTACTTGCTTCCTCTCACGATCCTCCGTCGAAAACGAACAATAATGACCTAGGAATGCGCGCGCTCAGGTAACCTTCTGACCATTTACGATCGTCAGCCATCCCATCCAATCAGCTTTATTACTTTTTTGCAACTATTCATTGCACTAACGTGATATTCAGAACAACATGAATTTCAACCACTCTACCCAAATTTAAGTAGTTTTGCTGCGCTTAAAAATCCTACAATTGTACAATTGACAATGATTATCATGAATCATTTATTCTACACTGAAGTTTGAATCAAGCATTTAGCCCGGTGGCTTATATGCTTATACTACAATGCAGCTGAGTTCTAGATCGTATCCTTCTGTTTCATATTATGGGAAGTACCTCTTCTGATCGTTCTCGTCAAGAGAGTTGCATTGATGATTTTTTTTGTTATCACCATTTGATCTTATCATACTGTCCTGTGTCATTATTGATCACGTAATTTATTGTAACTTTATTATGGCCCAGTCAAGGTTGCCTTTTTACTGTTCTTATAATTATGCTATGAGAGCATTCAAGGCAGTGCACACGTGACAAGAACGATAGACAAAATTAATTTCTACCATAGGCTTAACATGCTTCCCTTTACCTGACCTCAAGTTATCAACCCTATGCATCATCAAATTCGTGGACTTGTTATGTTCTGTATTTTTGTAACTTTATTCACATTTAGATTTTTACTAAAAGCGCTAATATTTCTTGGTTCATTTCTAAAGCTAGGCGATAAGACTGTACCAATTAGGGCTACGAATTCAAATGGGAAGGGGGAAAAATTATATCAAAATTCATCTGTCTATGGAAAATTCGCCTCCTTAATATACTTTGAATCTTACTTTGGACTCGTTTTTCTTTTGTACAATTATATCGTCTGCTGATAGATTACAGCATGTTCAATTGCAGCTGAGTTTCTTCGCATTCCGCTTTGATATTCTTGAGATCCTTTGTTTGTCTTCGTAGTTTACCTACCTGTTTGAAACCTTATCTCTGTCATCAGTGCTTCCATTTGACGAGGTATTTTTCATGTTCTGCATTCTTTTCCCCAAAAGTATTATCACTTTTGCCTTTGTACGCTGAACCACATTAACAGGGGAGTTTTCACATTTAAGCTCATGTTGCTCCTCCACTGTATTGGTCTTCAAATGGCTGAGGCGACAACGAAACATCGCCCCTGGTTTGAATGCAATGTTCAGACCAACTTTAGACACAATGGATCGTGATCTTTCGCTCAGCTTGCAAAGGTACGGTAAGGAAATGCACGTCTTTCTCCGGCGAGCAACGAGAAATGGGTGCCCTGCTAGATTTATTTACTTTCATTTTGCACCTCCAACGGATAACCGCCTGTTGGAAGTTAAGCCTGACCTAATGTAGTTTATTGCATATATTACTTTCTGTGAAACTAATTTTTCGTCCTGTTCGACGAAGTTCATTGACAACACATTTTTAAGCCTTCTGGATGGCTTGAGGAGCAATGCAGATACCGATCCGGGTATTACATTTTACTATGCATTGTTGTCGAATATC